ATCTGGACCTGGTACTTCCTTGATATTTAAATTTGAAAGAATATTTTCAACACCTTATATTTCTATTAAAAAAATGTTATTTTTCCGTTCGCCATTACTCTTCATATTTTCACCCTCTCATACTTCATTCATAAAAGTTAGAAATGGTCGCTATTTCTCTTTTAAATAAATTTCGATTTTTGTATAAAAGAAACATTCGCGGTATATTTGCTATTTTCGTTTTACAATCATCAGCCGCGTTATATTGTATTTTTAAAAATGTTAATTTGGTCTTATATTCATGTTCATAGTTTCTAATAATAACATGCTCCTCTTTATCTGAGATCCCTTATTGTTGTTGGATGATCTCAGAGCAGAGAGAGATTTAAAGCTAAATGGGTGCTTCATAATTAATAATGCTCGGCTTGTCCTTAACCCGAATCCTTTAATCTGTAGAGACGGCCAATAGACGGCGATCAATTCCAGCGTCTATTTTGATGGGAGAGCCGATCATTATTTTATAGATTATTTAATTTAATGTAGAAACAAGAATAATACAGCAATTCCCTCCCTTTTCCCAAGTACACGTGAGCATTAGTTTAACGAGGGATTTATTTACACATCTGTCCTAAAACTTTCCTCACTATATCTTTGTGTATGAATGTATTTACAAAGTTCTATGGCTATATTTTCCCTGTCTGAAATAGTTCCCAACATCTTTAGTGGGTTGCTGAACCTCCAGAAGGGGTCTTTTATAGATTGTCTAATTTAATAATAATTTAATGGGTGTTACACAATATATGCCACAAGTGACTAAGGAGAATTTTTTTTATAGAGATCAGTATAGAGAGAGAAATAGTAAAAAGATAAATTTGTACTAGATTTTTTGCAGATAAAAGTTTAGCTAGGAATGAAAGATGGAGATGGAAGATTTCTAAGGACGGGGGGGGGGGGGGGGTTTAAATATCTTTCCCGAGAAAGGGAAGCATTGCATTACAGCCCAAGTGGAAGGGGCCTGGGTCGATTTTAGCTAAAGACGAGGGGGCTTTATATATATCTTTCCCGAGAAAGGGGAGTGTTGTATTACAGTCCATGTGGAGGGGGCCTGGGTTTGTCTGGTGAAATTGTGCACTAGTGCCGTGGCTGTTTCCATCTTTAGACTTTGTTGTTTTTGGCAATATTATATGCTCTACATGTGGGAGAGGCCTGGGTCGTCTGAAATTGTATACTGGTGCCGTTGGCCATTTCCATCTTTAGACCTTGTTGTTCTGGCAATAATCAAAAACAGAGTTTTCCTTTTTTTTAAATTTATTTATCCTGTTTGTACAAATTGCATTACATGTGATGATGTAAAGGCACATGTCGATAGTGCATCATTGACAGCTGTGTTTCTATTATACAACATTAAGGTCTTGTTATGGGTTATATACATAGGGTTGTTGGCCTAAATTACCATATATATATATACTTAAGTAAGGAGGTTTTAATGAGTCACATCGTATATCCTCCCTTTCCATTTATCCAAAACGGGAACACAACAATATTTGCTGATTTTTTTTATGGTTTTTATAAATATATATGTCATAAACCCTGGTAAGCCAACAAGTGAGTTGGAAGCAGTCAGGTTGAGTGGCACGACGTACAGAGTGGGAAGTCCGCACGGGACGGTAAGGACAAAGTTTGGGATCAAAAGACGCTCTCCTAGTACGTCTCACATGGCACCAGGACCAGGAGAAAGTTGAGAATTAACTGAGTAAAGCTCGGCGTCCAACCTGAAGCTGCGGGGGCAAAGAGGAGCCAAAACGGCGGCCACGAGGGCCGCCGTGAGATGACAACTGACCTAGACTCAGCGGGCCTCTCCGAAATATCCATTGTAACCTAACTAACTGTCAACATCCTGACCAACGCCCCTTTTTTGTCCCTCCCTGGATCCACTGGGTGTCCAGTGGCAAGCTGGTGTCACTTTGAGACGTCATACTTTATTACTTACATATCACATTGTTTAAATTACGATATATATATTTATATATTATATAAAGATATATATTGACATTTATGATCTGAGCCAAAATCCTGAGAAGCGATATTTTTTAGAGAAATGTCCTGTCTTTGTGTCTTCTGCTCCAATGAATTTTTTGCTGCTAGGATTTTGTTCATGTCTACTAAAAAATGATGATCTGTTTTCGCCTGTGGTCTGCTTTAAGAAAATTTCCCCGAAATAATTTTGTATCTGACAATCAAACATGATACAGCAATAGTGTCATCATCATTTTCTGACTGAAATTGCTTATTTTTGCCCAGTACTTGGTCAATTTTATTTTTTTTTAGTCTAAAAATATGACAATAAACTCTTCCAGAATTTTCTCTATGTCCTGTTAAAATTTCAGTCAGTTAGGTTTTAATTATTGAGGATTTGTATAGCCAACAAAGATATATATATGTGATATCCTGGGACCTCTGGGACCAGTGTTACCTGATGCTAGACGAACCTCGATGTCACCTCTACCGTGCAGTCGTGGTGGAAGGCGACACAGCTGGGCCAAAGGTGAAATAAACAAACAGAGATTCCACTAAGAAGCGTCTGAACGTCGAGAAGGAATGGGACGATGAGGTTTCTGGTAGGAAAGGATTGATTACCTCTATAGAAGCGGCCTGCGCGGAGGACTGAAACAAAGGACTAATTAACTGACTAACTTGGGACCTCCTTTTATAGCTTCAGGGTCCAGGCAGGTCACTGCCCTTTTCTGACGTAAACAGGGGAGGGGGGGGGGTGGAGTTACCTCATCCAGGAGGGCCACAACCTCGTAAAAATTGGAATGGGCTCGATAGGCCTACTTTCTTATTCTCACTTAGGCCTGATTAGTTTTAGCCTTAATTTTCTCCTGTTATTCTCCATTCCTTCTATCTGTACAGTTGCTATACTTTATTAGAGTCTTACGCGGTACAGATTGATGTTACTTGATGCTTTCTATTTGCAGTAAATAACAAGTTATATACAGTCACGTAGTGATATATGTGGTAGTTGATATCTGGATTATTTACAACAATTCCATGGTCTTAAATCATCACACATATATATACACTGACTTTTATAAAGAGATTTATTATGATGCATTAACACGCCATCTGTTATCAAAATTCGAAACTATTATAGACGCGAATGATTCTTTTAAAACTAAAACAATTTAGAAATTTGAAAGATATAAATATAATGAATTTATATGCAATGAGTTGAACATAGAAACACTATGTAAATGATGTATTTTAAAAGTGGTGCCATTCAAAGAATATTTAATAAATGCCAGTGGACTCCGATGAAGGTCGTTAGCATTTTCTAAGTAATTAAAGGATGATGTAACAATATAGGTAGAGTCAGTTCTTGATTGGACGCGAAAAGCCAAAAGAGTCCATTCTTACAGTCTTCATCTGCATATAAGCTGAACTTTTCTGAGTTCATATAGTCAGGTGCGAGTAGTGAAGAGCTATATGTAGTTAGGTTGTCATGCTGCAGATTGATCAGCGGTTTCATCAATTCCTCTTAATCCATTCTCAACTTCCAGGATGCAGCCCTGAACCGAAGTAACTCGTGAGGTTTTCTATTTCCTTCAGACTGTACCCCCTCTTCATTAAAGCTCATTACCATAAATTGGACTGTATTGTCTCATCCATTGATGAGCTCTACTCTTCCCCGGCAGACATCATCAAAAGTCTCAAGCTTTACAAGCTTGATATCTTAATATGATTGAGTGGAGATAAGAAAGAAGAAGACCATAATTTGGACGAATAAATTTCAACAGTGTAGGCTCCACATTTTCACAAATATATTTTAAAAAATAAAATAAGTTTTGGTTATTTGATTATATAGGCTTCTTTATTATTAAAATTATTATTGGAATCCAACGTTTAATCTCTCTTAATTCCATAAAGTGCAGCGTGATAATAGTTTGATTGGAAAATGACCAACACATTCAGACTTAATTTTTGAGGTTAGAAAAAACATGTCTAATTGGCCAATTAACCCGGAAAAGAAAGAAGAAAGCTAAATTTTTCTTGAAATTAATTTTTCCTCATTATTTGGGTCATTACTGTTGGTTCCAATTTATATATAACTAGACGAATGGCCCGGGCAACGCCCGGGTTTTACCCGAGTGCGTATATATTTTAAAAACGTTTTAATTCAAATACTATTCGTTACAATTATAAATTGGCGCCGTGGATGTCTCTCTTGTGAAACGTCCCGCCCCAAACTGTGTGTGTCTTGAAAATATAAAAATAAAAATGTGAATTTTCATAAAGATTTCATCATGTCGATTTTTTTTTTTTTTTTGCATTTCACCTACTAAATCGATAGAGATAATTACATTTGCAACATGAACTTAGGTATATTGACTAAATAGAAAACTGCATAGTAATAAAGATCATTTTTTAAAGGCACCATATCGTTTTTTTTCAATAAAATCGAAACAAAAATTAACGATAAATAACGATAATTGCCTTAAAAAGAAATTGCCTTAAAAAAGAAACATTCGCGGTGATTTTGTCTTGCATTCGTTTATACAATTATTATATACGAATGACCCGGGCAACGCCCGGGTTTTACCCGATTAAATGCTTTTATTCAAATACTATTCGTTACAATTATAAATTGGCGCCGTGGATGTCATTCTTGTATAATATATAAATGAGTTTTAAAAATTGTAAAAAAAGAAAAATGCATCGGCCGGGAATCGAACCCAGGCCGCCCGCGTGGCAGGCGAGCATTCTACCACTGAACCACCGATGGTTATGAAAATTCCCATCCGTGAGCTTCAGACAAACAAACAGACAGAATAAGGCAAATACATAAGTAGATTATTGCGATTTCACCGCCACTCTGTGTTGTGACGACGATCTAAGTTCTATAGTATTTGTATTAAAACGTTTTTAAAATATATGCGCACTCGGGTAAAACCCGGGCGTTGCCCGGGCCATTCGTCTAGTAATATATAAATGAGTTTTAAAAATTGTAAAAAAAAAAAAAATGCATCGGCCGGGAATCGAACCCGGGCCGCCCGTGTGGCAGGCGAGCATTCTACCACTGAACCACCGATGGTTATGAAAAATCCCATCCGTGAGCTTCAGACAGACAAACAAACAGACAGAATAAGGCAAATATATAAGTAGATACCAGAAGTAGTTGCTTTTTTTTTTTTTTTGCGTTTCCTATTACTTGATCAACACTAGAGAGAAAAGAAATATTTTAATTTATCTCAAAAATAGATTATTTTTTATAGAAGCAATGGGCGCTTCTCCCTTCAAAATAAACGTCATAATCTGACGACATCTATTGACCGTCGCCGCAACTAGCGGCATCAGGTCGGTGACAAAGCCACAACACCAACTTTGGCAAACTGATAAGCGTCCACCTAGAGACCGTGGTTTCGGGCTAATGGCCCTCGTCAGTCTAGGGCTGACTTTATTCCATGAGATCCACATGGGATCTAATGGAATTCTCACAATCTACCAAAGAGGTGTTTTGCTGGCAACAGCACCCATTGCTTCTATGGATTAATTTCCTCCCGGCATATTTTCCATCTATATTATTTTTTATAAATAATATTTTTTTAATATAAATTCATTGATAATTCAAATTATGTTTTAAAAAGAATTATACCCCACAAAACATGTTTGTAAACAATTCAACACAATTCAATAGTGAAAGAAATCCTAAGAAATCCTTATATTATCCAATATATATATATATCTTGATAAAACTAATTTACCTATGTAGTATTATTGAATATATTTTATTACAAATATCGGTATATATATCTTCAGAATAACTCTTAGAAAACCTGATTTTGAACTAATAAAATGAATTTAATTCCAAAAAACCATAAAATGATTGATATTGAAGTGTTTGAGAAAGCAAGTTTGGAAGAAATAAAGAAGATGGTAGAAGAAGGAGTTGATTTAAACACAAGAACAGAAAAAGAAGAAACTTTATTACATTTAGCAGTAAAAGAGGGCAAATTAGATATTTGTAAGTATTTGATAGAAAATGGGGCAAATATAAATGCAAAAACTATACATGAATATACGCCATTGCATTTTGCTGTTTCCAATAAGAAAGAAACACTAGTTCAATATTTAATTGAAATTGGAGCAGATATTGGCTTGAGAGATAATTATATGAGAACCCCGTTACATATTGCTTGCATTGTAAATAATTACAAAATATTTGAATTGCTAATTGAAAATGGTGCTGATATTAATGTTAAACAATATAACAATCTGACTCCATTTGGTCTCGCTAATTTGCGTGGAAGTTATGAAATATTTGAAGAATTGCTGAAATTAGGATCTGATGTTAATAACAAATGTAATCAGAATGTTACAACATTGATGAACGCTGCTGCTTTGAGCGATACTCGTTTTGTTAAAAAATTACTTAAAACAGAACTTAAAAATATAAATTCCAGAGATTGTTGGGGTTTTTCTGCTCTGAATACAGCTGCATATCGCAACTATGAAAACTATAAAATTTTATTAGAAGCTGGTGCAAAAGTAGATAATAATAAATTAGGCCATACTCTTTTAATGTCTGCAGCTATTGGTGGAAATATAAAAGTCGCCATTGATTTGCTCAAAAAAGGAGCAAATATCAATGAAACAGATAAATATGGTTTTACAGCATTGACTTATGCTGTTCGACACAGACAAAAAACGATGACTGCAGTTTTATTATTGTTAGGTGCTGATATCAATGTGAAAAGTGAGAATGGAAACACTATAATCCACCATGCAGGGAAATCAGGTGAAAAAGCCATAGTAGATATGCTTATTGATTGTGGAGTTGATTTAGATGTCGCAAATGAAAGCGGAAGGCTCCCATTTACATATCCTATCTTGGCCTTAAGGGATCAGGATGATCGCTTGAGTAATTTGGAATATTTACTATTAAGAACATCAAATAAGGAATACATTCAAATTTTGGAAGCTTATTTTTTATATGATTCTCCAATATTCATCAAATATTTTGTACTTCAACTACTTCTTCATCCAAAGCCTAATTTTAGTGAAGATGATCAAGATATATCAGAATGGTGGGATAACTGTCAGATCCAAGTACATAGGATGAAAACTCACCTAATGGGGAAAAGCCAATTTGATATGCATAGCTATTTGACAGAAAGCAACCCTAATTTAAGAGCCAAATTATTGAATGATTTTGAGATAGGCAATAAACAAATATGGGATGATGAAAAATCATGGTGCAAAGAAAACACCCCTCTTTATTCTGATATCATTATGGATTGTTTTGACATGGACTTCGAGAGAACCAAAATGATATATAAATGGTATTGGACCACTAGCAAACATCACAAACTTAGTAATTTAGCCAACACAATAAGAAAAAAAATTGCTGAGCACCTGACCATAAATAATTTTTGGGCAAATGAATTTTTGGATTGATAAATTAGAAATTTATATTCTACAGAATTTAAAATAAAAAAACTTCTAAAGTGCCCTTTCTAAAATATAAAAATAATATATTGGGACATCTCGGCTCATCAGATGACATGGTATGGGTTTGTAAATAATTCGTTAAACAGTCAACAAAAACAACAATATCAAAACTCTAGTTCCTGTAAAAGACAATCACAACTTCTCTACAAATATTCATCGAAATATTTTTACTGATTACTTGTTATATATGTTTAATAAACTCTTGTTACTTTGTATTGTTTACTTTTTGTTTTTATTGTTTACTTTCCTTAGAGTGATCATTATTTTTTGTTTAAATAAAAAGTATAAACCTTTTTCTAATTTATTCGGCTTCATTTATTTGAACTCTTACCTCTAAATGTATTTTATCTATATTTATCTGTAAAATAATGACAGAATTAAATGATAAGAATTTATATTGTGGCGAAGAATATATTTTTTAATTTATTTCATTAATTAATCAATCAATGTAAATACACAGAAGAATATAACTCTGTAATTATGAAATCGTTGTATATGTTCTATAGAGCTTTTTTGTTCAATATTCTCTAGCTAAAAATATGTTTGTTAGTTGAATTGTAGTCGCCTAGTGACGTAATAAATAAATAGTAATTTGTTTTATCATTATGATCTGTCTAGTCATCCATTTTTCTACATTACAATATTCATTTTTTTGTTCATTTCTTTTTATATACGATTACAGATTTCTATGACTGCATGTTTATTTGTGAAATTTGTAATATATTCAATTAATATTTGATATATATGTAGTATATTTTAAGGTGTAGTATATTTTAAGGTAGATAGAGCACAACCTTCTTATAATATTTATCATAACCCCATATCTATATAAAATGTGTATCGAACTTGTAACAAAATGACAAATAAAATAAAGAGGTAAAGGTAGACCAAACGACGCAATAACCCAGACGAACAGGTGTTTATGCTAATGAGTTCATTCCCCCGTTAGCAGGTGGCCGAACACGTGGCCAGACATAATTAATAACCCAGCGCTTGACAGGTGGCGTGATTACGGGAACCAATCAGAACTCGTCAACATCTGCGAGCGTCTCATATAAAAGCCCCCCAAGATTGGGACAAAGTAGTTGGTTAGTTGGTTTCAGAGTGACGCCGTTATACGGTCAGTCAGACTTCTCACCCCTATCCGCGATGTAGGGCATCCGTGACGCCCGTGGTCCGACTTGCCTTCGTCCGTGGTCTACCTCTACCTTCTTGGAGTTACCATCTAGACCTGCCTCTGTCTCTTGCTGTCCCAGTGCGGGAATCCCATCACGCACCCACTACCACGACTGCCCAGTACATTCCACCTCGGGATTACTACAGAACCCGTTAAAGTCGACAGGATAACTGAGGACAACAGTAAGCAGAGGATGACGGAGGTCGAAGACGAACACGTCGCAGATGCCCTCACCAACATGCAACCCCACTACGAAGACCTAGTAGGCCGCCTGGCAGACGCCATTCGGGGACTAGCCGTGCCTCGAGCGGAGGAAGCCCTCATCTCCCCTTTCGGCGGATCCCACGCAACAAGCAGCCCTCTTCCATAGAGCCATCTCCAGAGATCAACTCCAGCCAGAATCAGCCATTTCAAGGTACTTTAAACTTTGTTTCTGACATTTTCCGCATAAATTTTATTCTTATATTTTCACTTTAAACATTTGAAAATCAATTATAACCTTTTTTATATAATTTTTATTCAATTTTTAAAACTTTCATACTCTCATTTATCACTTTATTTTAATCAAATTATAAATGTTAATTTATCATTTTCAATTTTATTATTAAAAATATTCAATCACGCATTTTTGCCAATTTACTAATCTTACATGCCTTTCTTAAATTCACCTAAAATGGCATTATCCAAATATGCAACTTTCAATTTTACATAAAAAAAATCATATTATATTTTAATTACTCGAATCATATTTTCTAGACTTATTTGTGTGTTTTTTTTTAATACCTTATTTATGGCTGTAATATTAATAATTAAATTTATTACACTCATTATTTTACTTGACCTATTGCTATTCCAATTGATATTTCTCAAATTTTAAAAGTTTTTTAAAAACTAGTCCTAGATTTGTATTTTTATAAATATCAATTTTAAATTATCTCATCTCAAAATGTGCCTCCCATTTTTTCCCACAATTACAAATACAACATAAATACAATATGCGAAAAACTAAATATCATGCCATAAAATTTCCATACCCCATTGCATTTCATTCCTGCCTGTGTTAAATTGTTTTTTACGAAACTATCGAATGTTGTACCCATGCCATAACCTTTTCTCTTAGAAAATTTCGTAAATTCATTATTTTATAATTTTTCTAAACCTAATCACCGCTGATAATCTCCAATCTAACGATTTGTCTGAACATTTTAACGCAAAACTTACTTTATAATAAATCCTTTCCGACATTTAGGTCCCAACTTGTTTAGTCCAATAGAAAAAGGTATAGCTCATCGATTTTCAGAACCATTTAATCATTTGTCCCCCCAACTATTCTCATAAAATTAGAGAAAATCTAGGTCCTGAAAGTGACAAACAAGCCATGTTACATAAATAGCAAATCTTATTTT